ATAAAATTTCTCAACATGACTTACTGAAATTTATATGTACAGGTCATATTTGTCTTTAAAGACTGCCGATAACTTAATTAGAAGAAGGAAGAAAGTTGGTAAGACCACTATGAAGAACTGAATGCTGTTGTAGCGCGATGTGAGAGAGAATGACTAATGATACGGTTCGCTTGTGAGGGGTTTCTCAGTATGCTTAAATTGAAGATCGCATCAACTTTGTTAACGTTTGCTCATAGTGTTGGGTTAATTTGTGAATTCTTTTCTCCTTTGCTTTTGCAGATTGCTTAAGTCAAAATCAAGCACTTACAAAGAGGAAGATGTCTTTCCAAGTCACGGGAAAGCTAAAAGAAGAGGTAGCAGACAAACTGTTAGGAGTGAAGTTTGAATAAATCGAACAGAATCTAGGCTGAATTAGTTTCGTTTCATTACAAAAGCCTCAAATCTCAAACCGTACTATTTGCCAAACAATTTTCTTTCATTATTTGAAGATTGTGCTTTACAACTTGAGGACATTTTTTCGTGTATACGGTCACTTTTCGTGTTCAGTGCTAAATTTGCTAAGTTGATTGTCAAATTTTTTTATCACTGCGTTTTCTTTTGTAACATGTGTTTCAAATTTTTTAATTTTTAATTTTCCCGCCAAAAAACTTAGAGAAGAAATACGGGCGCTTTAAATACGCATGCGTCAATATTTTTGCACATGGAAACTCTGTAACATCTGTTCAAAATGGCGTCATTTTCCCGCCGAAAAACTTAGATGAAATACGGGCGCCTTAAATACGCATGCGCCGCTTTTTTTTTTGTTTTTGAGTAAGATGTTAAGGATTTTATATCTTTCATGTATACTTTCCAAAGTTATTAAATACAAGTCAATAAACACAACAATGTTGTTTGCTGTTTTATTTTCATTCAATCGAAAAGAATACAAGTAATTTGTCTTCTAATTGTTTTAATCTCTTCTTATATTCTTTAATTACTAAGTGATACCAAGACTTTTGGCGGGAAAATTTGGAACAATTTGCACAGAGGTTCCCCTGACAACATTTTCGACAAAAAATTGAGAATGGCTTCCCTTAAATTTTCCGCCAAGATATGTGAACATCACCTTGTGCAAAAAGTTCCTCCCAAACCAAAAACATCCATTTCTTCTCATTTTTCATAAAATTCTTCGAACGTTTCTTTCAAGAGTTTGGTCTTTGATTTTTTTTTTTTTGCCCAAGGTGATATCTCCACTTCAAGCTGTAGTTTGTTATTTCAAATGTAAGACTGACATTAAATACTTAGTTTGCCTTATTGCCAATAAAAAGAACCTTTTCAGCCGTCTGTTATTTTATTTGTAATAAGTCAGGACTTTTAAACTAAAATGATCTTTTAAAAGTCTAAGTATCTTATAAACCAAGCAAAATGTGTGTTTTTTTTTCTTTTTTGGTCGCATGTTTCATACAATCACCAAATTGCTTGGTTGTTCCTATCTCTGCAAGTTATTTCGATAAAATTGTAGTTGAGTTCATAGTACTAAAAACCAAGTTAATCTTAGTCTTTTTTCTTATTCATGGATCAAGTTCGCTTTATCTTTTTCTTTTTGGTCGCAGGGTTTCATACAATTAGATATTTGCTTGGTTCCGCATATCTTTATGAGTAACTGTGGTAACTTTCTGGTGTAAGTAACTTTCATTTTTCATCGACAAATTCAATAATTCAGATTTCAGTCTTCAAAATATCCTATAGTCCTGTTTTGTATCAGCTGCAGGCTGAAGGGCTTTTTACGTACAAATACTTTAAAACCCAAAGGCTGGTTCAAAGGATATTTTTTAATTTAAACATTGCTTCTAATCTTACGTTCAGTTAGAACCTTTTCAACAAGTTATTCAGACAAAAATCAAGCCAAACATCACAACCATAATAAAGCTATGCTTCATTTTTTGCTGGAGAAAAGGAAAGTTTATAAGGCATAAAACATCTTTTAACTAATGTTCACTCAAACATTTCACAGGGAAACTATTCTAAAACAATTTTTCTGTTACTTAAACGTTCAAATTCAGTCCAAATCGGACTCGTGAATATGTTATCATTTGCTTGAAATTTTTTTGCTCGGCAAACCGATTTGAACGCGACTCCCACTTTCTCTTTCACTTGAGTTTGACAACAAACCTGTGATTATCGAGTGAACTGTGATTTGAATAAATTCATTCTGATAAATTTCCAAGTTTCCTTATCGAGATAAAAGCAAATAAGTTTGATTTGCAATCTATTATTTCTGAGGTACATTGCAATTTCTTTAGTGTTTGAATTTTTAGATTTGCATAAGAAAACGACAGGCCCTATATCTACAAAAAAAAAACTTGAACTTTTTCGATGTATTATTGCGGTGCATACATGCCAGAGTTTGGTCTGTATAACTTGTTTTACAATCAACTTCTTTGCAAGAAGATTTCGTCGAACCTTCTGAACCAGACATTTAGGTTTTATAAAGAAAACTTGCAAAACGACAAGAGAGTGAAGGCAACGATGAATGTTCGTTTGAAATATCTAGCTCGTGATCTTTTCCATGAGCCAATATTATTTTTGAGTTGTCATTGGCTGCAAGAATCATTTTTCAGTTGTGATTGCAGAGGTTAGATCGTTCTGTTAGCTTTGTCTGCCATGCTACGTCGTGAATTAGTTTCTTTTTTCCTTTTTCTTTTTTTTTTTTTTTTTTTTTTTTTAATCTTCCTTTAAAATTGTCGGTGGTCTGTTCCGTATTACTGAAACACGTAATCATAGCAGTCGAGTTGGCGTTCGTTCTGATTTGGTCCAATAAATTCCTAACGTAGCTCAGTCTTCTTTTGGTAAAATTCACGTTCAAGTACTTGTTTGTGTCTGTTAAATTATTTGGTGCGTTGTAAACTGTTCTCATTAGATCTGTGTAGTCTCAACCGTGTGTGATGTCGAGTTCTGGGAGAACATGGTTTGTTATCTAGCTGTGCGGCGATGTTTTTTTTAACAGTCACAGAAAGTCAGTTTCGTCATTGTGAGTGGCGGTTAATGTATCATTAACGTATCGTTACTAAGGTGGTATTGTTTCTCTGTAAAAAGTTAGATGACGTTAATAGCCATGGAATTCATATGAATATTTTTCCAACGTGCGTTTCAGTTGCCTTTGTCCTCTTGTCCATTGCAAAAAGATTCATTTTATAAATACTGTGAATATTTAAAGGCGGCACTGACCAATGTATTGACAAAAATTTATACAATTCATTGCAAAATCGTAGTTTTGCAAAGAGAGAATTGGCAATAACCGAAATGCTTAGGTGCTGTTTCGTGACAAAAATATTCCTTCAATCGAGGATAAAATAATTTCCTTGAAAAGGGATTCGATCATTTTGTGTGCCAGGGCGATCAACGCTAGTTTTAGATTTCAGATTTTTTCTTCCAAATACTATTTTCCTTTCATTGCCATCTTTAAGTATCCAGCTTTATTGGTGACTGCCCACTCACCAAGTTCCTGTCCTCCTCCCCCTCCTCCTGTGCCAATTCGTATTTTTCAAGACGATCCATGAAATTAAACTAGCTGAGTTTCACAGCAAATAAAGAAATTCAGGCAGCCACCG